AGAACTGCTGAGACAAACTCATGTGGAATGTGGATAATACTGTGTTTCTCCATAAACTAATTAAATTCAGCATGCTCTTCATCAAGAATTTATCTACTCAACTATGAATCCCAAATGCACAAACAAGAATTGTGAAATTATTTATTTTAACAAACTTTGATTAATTAAAGAAATAGAAGATGCAGTAGTAGGCACTGAGAGGAAAATTTTGTCTTTCTAGATGTCATGATTTAATAGGAGAGCTAGAGCGTGAATAAAGCCAACTAGAGTATAAGGCAGGAGTCAGTGTAATAAGTGGTATAAATCAAATACCAGGGAGCCAAAGTGGAGAAAATGATTCTCACTTTAAACATATTTTTAAATTCCATGTCAATTAGATTCAAGAGAAACTTTAAGTAATGGTTGGGATTTCAAAATATAGAGTTTGAGGAGGGAAGTAAACAGGAAAGAAAATACGTTTCAGGCAGAAATAGCAGCACAGAAGGAAAACAGCTAAGAAAATAGTAATACCACCACAACTAAGAAACAGTACCTACTGTGTGTCAGAAACTGTGCCAAGTGTTTCACAAACCATGACTCTAAGCTACTAGACACCCCACCTTTGCAGAATCTGAGGTTCAGAGTTTCCTTAACCAACTCAAGGTCACAGAATTATTGAAGACAGCAGTCCTTGGCACAAATAAAATTAAAATATTTTAACATTAAAAATCAGCAAAAGAAAATATATTCTGATTGCTGTTTTGCTTACATTATTTCTGTCACACTTACTATGATTTGCCTAGATCAAGAAATACAGTAATATTTGTTCTCAAAATGGAGATCAAGCCATATGATACTGACTATATTCCTTCCTATTATAAAGAGTGGATTTCACAAAACACCCAGTGATAACATAAGCCTTCATTAGGTAAATCCCAAATATTAATCTATTTATGTAGCTAAGAGGGCATACGAGTTTCACAGATAACTCTGAAAGAAACTGTTCTTAATGATGGTTTAGTGTCTTAACTGGAATGGTGACGAAAGCCCAGGGGAAACAGACCTTAGAGACAGGTAATGAGGAGAGGCTCAGCCACAGGCTGGAGAGCGGGCCCCTCCAGGGTGCGGAGCCATCGGGCAAGCCCACTGTCCCTAGCAGAAGGGAGAAGTCCTGGCAGATAATCAACCAGCATTAGGGAGTTAGACCTGAGCACAGGTAAAAGCTCATCAGTAGCATGGGGTTCAGCGACAGGGCTCCCATCTGGGGTTCAGCGACGGGGCTCCCATCTTAAAATAAGCACATTTCTTTATAAAGCACCAAAGCATGGCAGTAACAGTATCCTCACTCCTGGAACTGGCATAAAATGAGAGTCACAGAAGCTAATTTGTTTTTGAGCCACAAACTGGCTGTTTATATCCTGCATATTTTCAGTCAGTTCTAATCCCTAAATTCAAGGGATGAGTTTAACCTAAAGAGAGGAATTTTAAGTGGCTATAAGTGATTATCACAGAAAGTGGTTGCCACAGAGAATCTCAAAATATCTGAAACTGGGAAAGCTACCTGTCACGCAAAATATCAGGTAAGGATCCGATCATCAACAGCAGCAAAAATAAAATGGCACTTATTGTGGCATTATTCTGCCCCTGTTCTCTGGGGGGAAAAATCTCATGTGTGCACGTGTGTATGTGTGCATGTTTATGTAGGTATTTGGCAGGGGGGGAGGGGTGTCAAAATGGAAAGAAAGCTAGTGCAAAGCCATGGGACATGAAAATTCCCAGGATCCTTTTGGAACAACATTATCAATGCTTTATTTAGCCTTCATCCCAATTTATTACAATGAAATTTTATAGAAAGATATTTCTTCTTCTCAGAAGTTCATTGTAGCAAGATAGGACATTTAAAAATTGTGTACTATGAGAATAGGGAGTCGTAGGACATCAAATGGACAAGAAATTCATCATGTGAAATTTTTGCCAGTCAGTTTTATTCATCATATAAATTTCTGTTTCAATATTATTCACAAAGTAACCTTGTAACTTCTTAAATCAGCTTTATGAGTTTCCCTTCTATACTGTTTCATAATTATAGAGAGAAAATGTCTAATAAAAGCAAAATTACTGAATTTATTTTTCATATTGTGCTAAAATATTGATAAAATATTCTTTGGAAAGTAGTGTTTCATTTTTCTTACATTGTACAGAACATTTTGTGTGGCACTGCCTGCTGTTGTAATTGGGTATAGTTTTATGCCTAAGGCTAGGAATCACTCACTCATAAATATGTTGTTATAAAAAAAATTCCATATCTGATTGTTAGTGTAATGCAATTTTTTTTTTTTTTTGGAAATGTAGGTTGTTTTCCAGTCTCAGTATTATCACAGAGCTTACTCACCCAGCCAATATGAGATTTATGCAATTCAGAGCCAAAGACTGTTATTCTCTTGCTCTTTCAAAACTGGAAAAGGTAAGATCCCACATTATTAAGTAAGTTGGATTTAACTTTTTGGTTCAAAGAATATCTATATATTGAAAGAAATGCTACGAGATAGTAAAAACAAAAATGCTGTTTTCAACTCCAATTTGGGGGTTAAAATCCTAGTTTATACTTGTAAAAAAATATAAATTGATGGATTTGAACCATTTATATCACAAGTGAATACGTTGGAGATATTTTGCTCTATCATAAGTTAATCAAAAATTAACATGATTTATGAAAAAATTAAGCACAACAGAAATATATACACTCATTTATAATGTCAGTTATTCAGATATTACAAATGATTTTCTGTGTCATGAAATTTTGAAAAAATTCTTATTCTTAGAATACTCATAGGTTTTTGGGCCGAGCCCGTGGCGCACTCAGGAGACTATATTTACTTAGAGTTCTGCAATTTTGAAAAAATTCTTATTCTTAGAATACTCATAGGTTTTTGGGCCGAGCCCGTGGCGCACTCAGGAGAGTGCAGCGCTGGGAGCTCAGCAGCGCTCCCGCCACGGGTTCGGATCCTATATAGGGATGACCAGTGTGCTCACAGCGCTCACTGGCTGAGCGCGGTGCAGCCGGTCTCAAAAAAGGACAAAAAAAAGAATACTCATAGGTTTTGTTGAAAACTGGCTTCTCAAATGTCACCAACACCACCTGAGATAAAGCCAAGTGTTTATTCTTTACCCAGGTAAGGGAGACTGCCACCTCAAGAAAGCTTTGGCAATGCCTTGGGGGGGAGGGGAAGCAGTGTCAAAATTTATTGAGAATTGGAAATTTGATCTAATGAGAGTGTTTCAAAGTGGAGACTTTATTAGGATTGGGCAGATATCAGGATGATGGAGACCGTGGAATTGCAAGATCATGCTATGTGGTCAGAAAGGTTTGGTTTCTATTCTCTGGATCTACACTGAGTGTGGGCGTAGATGGTTTTTGCTCTCAGCTTCTACTTTATACTAGTATACTAGGAAAACTGGGTGCAAAAGGACAAAAAAAGAAAAAGACTCAATCTCATACAGGTAAAAATATGTTAAATCTATGCTGTCTTCATTGTTTACGATGTATGGGATAGAGACTAATGCCTTACTTTTTAAAATTTTTCTTTCAGTTAATTTTATTNTTTCCAGTCTCAGTATTATCACAGAGCTTACTCACCCAGCCAATATGAGATTTATGCAATTCAGAGCCAAAGACTGTTATTCTCTTGCTCTTTCAAAACTGGAAAAGGTAAGATCCCACATTATTAAGTAAGTTGGATTTAACTTTTTGGTTCAAAGAATATCTATATATTGAAAGAAATACTACGAGATAGTAAAAACAAAAATGCTGTTTTCAACTCCAATTTGGGGGTTAAAATCCTAGTTTATACTTGTAAAAAAATATAAATTGATGGATTTGAACCATTTATATCACAAGTGAATACGTTGGAGATATTTTGCTCTATCATAAGTTAATCAAAAATTAACATGATTTATGAAAAAATTAAGCACAACAGAAATATATACACTCATTTATAATGTCAGTTATTCAGATATTACAAATGATTTTCTGTGTCATGAAATCTATATTTACTTAGAGTTCTGCAATTTTGAAAAAATTCTTATTCTTAGAATACTCATAGGTTTTTGGGCCGAGCCCGTGGCGCACTCAGGAGAGTGCAGCGCTGGGAGCTCAGCAGCGCTCCCGCCACGGGTTCGGATCCTATATAGGGATGACCAGTGTGCTCACAGCGCTCACTGGCTGAGCGCGGTGCAGCCGGTCTCAAAAAAGGACAAAAAAAAGAATACTCATAGGTTTTGTTGAAAACTGGCTTCTCAAATGTCACCAACACCACCTGAGATAAAGCCAAGTGTTTATTCTTTACCCAGGTAAGGGAGACTGCCACCTCAAGAAAGCTTTGGCAATGCCTTGGGGGGGAGGGGAAGCAATGTCAAAATTTATTGAGAATTGGAAATTTGATCTAATGAGAGTGTTTCAAAGTGGAGACTTTATTAGGATTGGGCAGATATCAGGATGATGGAGACCGTGGAATTGCAAGATCATGCTATGTGGTCAGAAAGGTTTGGTTTCTATTCTCTGGATCTACACTGAGTGTGGGGGTAGATGGTTTTTGCTCTCAGCTTCTACTTTATACTAGGATACTAGGAAAATTGGATGCAAAAGGACAAAAAAAGAAAAAGACTCAATCTCATACAGGTAAAAATATGTTAAATCTATGCTGTCTTCATTGTTTATGATGTATGGGATAGAGACTAATGCCTTACTTTTTAAAATTTTTCTTTCAGTTAATTTTATTTTGATTAGCTGTTATGCCAGACACTGTCCTAATTCCTGGGAGACATATTGATAAGTAAGGTTGTTTCTGCACTCTCGTCTGTTGATTTCTATCTCCAAAGCTGGCCACATACCTTATGTCAGTAGAGACTTACCATGCTTCTTTATGGGCAGAGAGAAATTGTTGTTAGGCCCTGCTTCCAGATGTGGAAACTGAGTTTGAGACAAGTTACATAACTTTTTCAAGATTATACAGCTATCAAGTCAATGCAGTAAGGGAAAGTTAAGGTCGTTAATGTTCAGGACATTCAAGAAAACTTCCATTTCGCCACACCACTTTAACAATGTAGAAGAGGTGGTAAGCAAAGCAAAATTGTCTCAGCATCCACTGAAAGAAATTGAGCCGAAATGCCGGGGACTGGTCAAGCTTTATTAAAGAAAGAAATCTGCCGGGCTGTGCTCACAGTGGAGGACACAGCTAACCTAGGGCGGTGGGAGCTTATACTGGTGTGTTGGCACCAAGAGCTAGGTGATGTAATTCCCGGGTGGGGATTGAGTCAGGCCATGGGAACGGAGAGTTCTGCGCATGTGAAAATGCCAAAAGTTTCATTTTCTACAAAACCATGAGGCTCCTTGTAAAAGAGAAGGGGGGGCGGGGGAGGGAGGAGGTGGGTGGTGCCATTTTGTACTTGGGCTTGTCTAAAATGGCGCTGGTTATGTTGCAGATCTATTATTCCTGCCTTTTAAGTATAGAAAAAGGGGCAAAGGGCAGAGGTCTCATTCTTCTGAAGCTACTTCCTGCTGGAGGTGGGAGGAGAGGAAAGATCAGGTGGAAAAATCAGGCAAAACAAAGCATCCTGTTGGTTTCCTGGGGGGAAGCCGTGTTCTTCCCAGTCTCTGACCTGGAGAGGCCGGTATCCGAGTTCAGTGACGTCTTGGCATGAGTTCCTATAAGAAATTAGAGAAACACTGAAAGAGGCAGGGACCAAGAAGAAGAAGAAGGCTGTCATGGTTAAGGGTCCTGGTAACAGTACCAGCCGGGGCGTCCATTTCCAGAGCCCACTCCAATTGTCCCAGGAGTCTGCTGCAGCCTGGCTCTTTTTAGCCATCTGGTTGCTGGATTTGTGTGTGTAAAAGCAGCATTCCTCCCCTAAGAATAGACAAAGCCCTCCCTTCTCTGTTGGTAGCAGGTCTAGGCCCCATCTATTTTGTAGAACTACTTCTGCCAGGATGTTTGTTTGCTGTGTGTACAGCTAATGGCATCTGACTGGTCATAACACACAGTGGGAGCATGTGTTAGGGCTGAGAATATCTTTTGGGGGCTCTCCCCTAAGTCTAGCTAACAACTGTGACCCCATAATCCACCCAGATCCTGCAACCATTACCGTGGTTTCACATTGTATGTAGGAGGTAGCATGTGTAGATGGTATAGAAGAGAGTAGGAGAAAGAAAAAGGCTAATTGGGTTAGAAGAGAAAAAGGGTGCATAATAAAAAGAAAGAGTAAAGAACAACCTCATCTGGAGTGTAGCTGCAGAGGGCCCCTTGCCAGGCTCCTTCGGTCATCCACTCGAGGATATCTTCAGTACTGGAAGTGGAGGGGCAGGACCAGCCTTGGAGCAGCTCCTGTGTGAAGTACGTGAAATGGGCCTGCAAGACTGGGAAGATAATCGCCGGGGGGGAGGATCATCCTTCTTCTGGGATTGGGGGAAGAGCAGAGGTCCTGGAGATTTTTAACCTTGTGGGTCCTAAAATGGACAAGGTGTAAGGAGGTGTTGAGTTGGGGGTTGAGCAAAGGGACCCTTTTGAGTTGGTGTTAACAGAATCTTTGGGTAAAGTCTCAGGTGCTAGTTTTACCAAGGTTAAGTGATACCACAGGGTCTTGCTTAGTACTTTCACTGCTGTGGGGGGGGGGGAGGGGAGAAATACTGTATAAGGCCCTTCCCAACATGGTGAGAGAGGCTTTGGGATTCGGGTTTAATATACACTTGCTGTCCCAGGCTCAGTTTTAAATCTGAGGGGGTGGTGGGGAAAGGATGAGGTAATAGATGGTTGGCCTGTTCCTGAAGAAGACCCCTAATGAGCAAAAGAGTAGGGAGATACTGGCCTAGAGGTGATGTGCTGGAAGGGAGAGGTGGGAGAGTGAAGGGTCTGCCATACATAAGTTCAAAGGGGCTGAGGCCTGTGGGCTTGCGGGGGGCAGCTCGCAGGTGAGTGAGTGCTAGAGGGAGAAGTTGTGTCCAGGGGAGGTGAAACTCCATGGACAGCTTGGTGAGGTGTGTTTTAATGAGGTGATTAGCTTTCTCTGTTTTCCCCAATGATTGGGGTCAATATGGTATGTGTAGGTTCCATCTGATATGTAAGGCCTGCACGGTGAGTCGTGTAATCTGGGAAACAAATGCCGGGCTGTTATCACACTGGAGGCTGGTGGGCAGGCCAAAACAAGGGATGATTTCTGAGGTGAGAGCACGTGTTACCGATGCTGCATCCTCTGAGGTGGAGGGGAAGGCCTCAATCCAACCAGAGAAGGTATCTACTAAAGTAAGAAGATAACGTGTTTTCTTCTGGGGAGGCATGTGTGTAAAGCCAATTTGCCAATCCTGGCCAGGAGTGTATCCTCTGGTCTGGTGGGTGGGAAAGGACTGGACTTGGAGGCCACCTTGATTGGAACAATGAGTACACAAAGGACAGCTTCAAGTGATTTGTTTTA